AATCAAGAGAAAATTGCTGACATAATAAAGATGATGAAACTAAATTGCAAATAACTGCTCCAATGCCATAATCTCTCACATCTCTTTTAGTGTACATAGGTACTTCATCACAAATGGAAAAGATTTATTATTTTCAGTAACACATTGTTTATTTTTTCTTTCTTTCCTTCTTATTTTTACATCATTTATCATTTTTAAAATGTAGTCATCTTTCTTGGGTTGTATTTTAATTGCATCCAAAGTCACAAGTAGTATCTTTATTTTGTTACACAAAACACTTTTTATTTCATTTTCAGAAATTACAGAAGCAATTACTGTCTCCTCAAAAGGTTATTTAAATTTTGGAATTAATTTGCACAAACCATCTGCATGTCCCAATTTCTTTGATAGTAAATACTTCCTCTTAAAAATCATAGTTTAGTAAAACTGTTTCCCAACGTTGTAACCTGTTGGCAGTATGCATTGGAATACATTTTTTTAAACTAAAAATACTCAATGGATGGTGATCTGTTTTCAGAATAAATTTCCTACTGAGTATCACTTAGTGAAATGTTTTCATTACAAAAATAATAGCTAGCTCTTCTTTTTCAATTTGACTATAATTTTTATTCATCCATTATTAGCATTCTTGAATTTATGACAAATAACTGCTCTAATGCCATAATCACTCACATCTGATGCTACTATTATTTCTAAATCACAATTGAAATGTATTAATGATAATTCAGATATTAACATGTTCTATATATCTTCAAAAGATTTTTGACATTTATTGAACCAATTACGCACCATATCTTTTTTCAATAATGTATTTAAAAGCGTTGTCAATTTATGAATTTTTGATACATAAAGTTTGTAGGCTTAGGTTTAAAAACAGGGACTATGTTTTCCTTTAAGTGAAAAATTGCCTTCACCACAGTACATTTTTCAAGACCTTCAGAATACTGTTTTAACTCCTTTAAAAACTTTCACTTACCGTAAAGTGTTTTTGTCGGAAGAGCAATTCACTTTCATTTTATTTTACAGAATTAATTTACAGGAAGACTTCACAAACTGAATAGTTTCATCTAGTCTGTGCCCAATAAGTTCAACGTATTATTTTTTAATATAAATGGCTTAGTTTTTAAAGTTTGACCTTCACATGAGACATTACATACAAGGAGGTCAAAGAATCAACAAAAAAATAAAACTGGATATTATCTTAATTAACACTCCAAAGGGACATAAAAACCTTTTCATTTCTGGGAAGTGTAGTGATTTTAAATGTCTTACCTCATTTACATATGAGTGCATAGGTTTTTTTTGTATCATCCTACAACTGAAACAAGATAGAGTAAAAGCTTAATACTCATGAAGGACATAAAACAGGATATAGAATGGAAGAAAGGCGTTAAATAAAAAACATAGTTTGGAACAAGACGAGAAAGGTTAATGAAAAGAACAATGGACAGCCTGATGGAAGAAAAGGGAATTTTATTTCCAGAGTCTTTGTTTTTAGGGCAGAGATGCTTTGAAGGAAACTGATTCTGTTACAAAATATTACCACAAAAGCAGTGATCAACCCAATAAAAAAAAAAAAGTGTTATGCATTTTCAATGTATTGTCCTCCCACTGAAATGGGATATAGAAGAAGCTTAATATTCATGAAGGGCATAAAATTTTTAATTTTGCATAATTTAGATGACAATTTCTCCATTACATGATGCATAAATTAGTATTATAAATCAGCAAATTGGTCAGTGTAGGGCACTAGTATCAGAAAACTGAGAGATAATGTTAAACGTCCATAATATATTTTATCTATATGCTTAAATAATCAAATTTAATATTAAATATATTCCAAGATTTTTGTCAAAATATTTTCTTCATATAAACTCATAACATCAATCATGAAATTATTTTCCTTGGCTTTCTTTGATCTCACCCTGTCTTTAAGGTAAATTATATATTCCATCATAAATAAATGATTCTAAATAATTTAAAGTCTTGAAACTTTAGATTTCTGATTAGATAAGAAATGTTTTCATGTAATGAAAAAAAGTGCTGCTACTAAAAGAAGATACTGTATGTTGATCATCTTATGATAAAGCAAATGTCACATTAAGACAAGTGTCTAAAGATAAGAATATATAGGCTTTAGTTTCACTGGGGTACTGTTGTTTTATGATCTGTTCTGCTTGATAGCAATTATAGCAATGTTAGTCTAAAATTAAATATAAGTATTATGTATTTTACATTAAATAATGAGCATTGTTATAACACATTATTTATTACTATGATTGTAAAGATATTACCAGTTTAACAATATTTTATGCTTCTCATGACATTCAAACTTTGTGTGTTGCTTAATTTTCTCTTTTCTATAAACTCAATTTTTGTTCATTTATCTTTCAGGAATTCATATTTCCATTGAATCAATCTCATCCAATAGAATCATATCAAGAGTCAATATATACAAATGTTGAGGAAAATAATGGTAAGGCATTTTTAGCAATCAGCATTTCATTTTATATATTATCTAAAAGAAAAGATTGTATGATGACATGGTGAAAAGTTCTCAGCCTGACCAAAAAGCCCTTCCCCAAAATTCTGATGTTTGGTCATTTGGTCAGATTTTTGAGAAATGGGTCAGGCCAAGAACACTTGTACTTCAATGTTTGTTTCTTGAGTTGTGTAAAAACTCCAACAAAATCAATTGCAAATTTGTTTAAAAAAAACATCTTCACAATTGTAATTAAAGTCACTTCAAGTGCACTGTAGTTATTTATAAATTTTATGACCATTTCTTGGTAGCAACCACCAGTCATTTGGTAACAACTTGCTTGTCTTTAGTAAGTTGAAATATAAGTATTTGTATATGCAAAATTTTACTGAAGGAAATAATATGTACTCCTAAACTAAGGGATCAATTGTTGGATTTGAAATCTGTTCTATCCCACACTGTTGGGATAAACAAAAACAAATGAAAATAAAAGACAAGTGTATTGACAGACAAGGGATGTAACTCAATTGTATTTTGATTTATCGTCCTTTTCAGGGAAAGGAATTTAGTTTCCCCTGACAAAACCTCTCCTTTTTAGTATCATTCTTATATAACTTTTGACAGGGGATTTAATTGCAGTGGGTATGGCTTACTTTGTAGTCGATGTGATTTTTTTTGGTGCACTTTTTCCTGAAGTCTTATGTTTGCTCTTTGGCATTTCTTAAGAGCTTTGTTGAGGCAGTTAAACAGTGTCCAATAGAATGTCCAGCAGTAAAATGGAGTTTGATTTGGTCTCTGAAAGTTTAGATGGTCGTAATTGGTTTTCATATTAAACTCAGACTGAAGACTGAATATCCACATCATATGTAACATTTCCAGAGTGATGTATAATGTGTCCTTGGATTCATTTTTCTTTGCCGTTGCTGTAATTTTTTGCAAGTACAGTTTGTCTTGGTACATATTTGCACTTTACTGCTCTATGATGACAGTTAAATTCTTCTTCCATCATCCTTGGATGGATAACATATATATAGAAACAAATTCTATGGTTCATCAGTTCTGTTAGTGGTTAATTACCATTAGGTGCAGCTCTGTAACTTGCAAGGATTACTTCTAATATTTTTTCGGTTCCCTCACTTTCAAGTTTGAGGGTGCTCTCTTAAAGGCTATTTACAAAATGCTCCATTTGTCCATTTGATTGTGGATGAAAAGTAGGTGTCCTGATGTGTTGAATACCATTCTGTGCACAGAAAGTTGAAAATGCAGCTGATGTGAAGGTAATGCTATTATTAGAAACTAGTATCTGTGGGACTCCATATCGACTGAAAGTTTACTTTAACCTAACAATTGTTTCACCAAGCTGATACAAGTCATTTGAAAAATTACTGGCCATTATAATGCACTTATGTTTTTTAAACAAACAAGAACATTCAAAATGTCAGTCAACACAATGCCATCATTTTCAGGAAGGATTCTTTTAATTACGAGGTTGTTTTCTCATGTGGATTTTTCTGGTTATTGGTAAATCCATAATTTTTGAACCAGCATAGTGTCTCTTTTGGTACTTAATAATTTCAGTGGTAAGGGCTTTTAACATAATGTTTTTATCCTGTCCCAATATTGAAAGAAGTCATGCGTGAGCATCATCATATGTAGAAGATTTTAATCTTGCAATAAAAATCAAACACTTAAATTGTTTCTCTGTAAGGGAATTTAATTTAAATTTTCTGCATTCCCAATTGACATAATCAGCAAACCTCACATAATTGTTAGCATCATCTTTTGTTAGCTTTAAACAATTGAATCAAATGTTAAATAAAGTTTGTTTTTCTCCAAATAGTTCATTGAGTTGTTCCATTGCTTCAGTGAAGCTGAAAATTGCTGCCTGTTTTCGTAAAATATAATTTGTTTTACGGTCATGTTTCTTAGCACCCATTTTACAATTTTCCATTTTTTCCTTTTTATGAGAAAAGTCATTGTGAAAGGTATCCAGCAAATGTTTAAACCACAAAGTGAATGTTTTCCAGTCCACTGCTTCATAGAGGAATAATTTTATGTCATTGACCAAGATATCTGCTGAAATGGTATTTTGGAACTATGCAGTCATTGCTGTCAATAACTGTTGTTGTGACTTCTGAAACTCTCCTTGCTTTTAGTGTAAAAATCTCCTTAAGCATCTCAGGTGAAATTGCCATGTTGATTTTGAAGTTCAAGTTCCATTACCAAAACTTTATTATATCCCAGGTTGTTGATGAACAAAACAAATGAAAATCAACAAATGTTGTTCATTCACAATTTTTATTCATTCACTGAAAACAACAAGTATTGTATGGATGGAATAAAATGAATTCCATATGTATGTCAGCTGGTCACTGTGTTCAGTTCGGATGTGGCACCTTCAGCTTGACAGACTGGAAAAGGGTTTTTGTCAATAAAAAGACAATCTTTAATAATTCCTTTATTCTTCTTTTATTTCTGTTTTTCTTTTATTATTTACTAAATTTTAATTTTCTTTCAGTTTTGAAGCCAGTTGCAAAACTTTCCATGAATCTATATTTGTTGATGTAAGTAAATCAGTACTTGGGTTGTCAATGTTAGATTAAAAATAGATGTACATTGTAAATAATGATTCTAGTAATGAGGTATTTAATTGTTGGTTAACCTAAAGTTCCCAAATTTAATAAGCTGATCAGATAAATCTTTGATTGCTTACATGAAAACTTAAATGAAAAGAATACCGAGTTTAAATTAATCTTATCAAGTAAAATTGAAAGTTGTAAATATTCTCAAATCTGAGTAAAAGAACTTCTACATACAAGAATTTATCCAAGGTTTTATGTACAAACAAAATATTTGTCATGGGAATGTTAAATGCCATAATTGATATAAAAAAAAACTAAAGTTCAAATCTTTAAAGCCATTAATGATGTTAATGCAATTTAGCACAACCAGATTAAAACTGAATTACAGAATGTAGATGTTTGTTTTGTTTTGAAATATTTATCTATTTATCAAGAAAGGATTTTTTTTTTGTTTTGTCTTTTAGGGTTTCTTCATGAAGAATGAATTCATGTTAACCCTTCAACCATCCAAAAACAATGCAGACATGTTTTGGAAGCTTATTTATGAGAAGAGGTACTCAATCATCATCATGCTTGATGATACACCTAAAGTGAGTTGCTCAGAAATAAAGAGTTTAGCTTTTTATTATTTGTGCTATAATTTTATAAAATTTATTTTTTGAAAGATTTTCTGATTAGAATTAAAATCTCTTTAAGTTTAGACTGAATAGGAAATAAAATAAAATTATGGCAAAGGAAATAATGAGAAAAATATTTAGGATTATTCAAATTACCTTTCTCCACCTCTCTCTCTCTCTCACACACACTCTCACACACATGTACATGTATGTATGTATGTATGTATGGCCTCTCCAGGCCAAGGAATTAAATAAAAGTACTGGACAGGAACACTAGAATAACAGACATCTAAAAAATAAGTGCATAAGCTGGACCATGGGGACTTCCTCAGTTGACTTAGCATGGAATTAAGTACAATATGGGAGTAGTTAATAAAGACACAAAGATAAATGACAGGAAGGCTTCAAAAGTAGCAGCAACTACAGTAAAAAGTGAAGCCTTGGTGAGTGCAGCCATGCATGGCAAGTAGCAACAGCAGTCATTAGTGTTGTGTTCGCCGATCGACACATAGACAACGTGGAATAAATAAAGTTTACAGTCAACAAAGAAGTAAAATGATTCGGTCTTACCGTGCAGGTATTAGTTCTTCGTAAACTGGAGTTGAGATGAGTCGGCGATGATTTCTCGCTGCACTTAGAAAAGAGAGATGAAGATTGGAGTGCGAGAACATACATTTATTTCCTTAAGGCCTTTTACAGGAAGTCGCCCTCTATGGAAGTTGTAGTTCACTTTTTTGTCGCAGTTAATATACATGTGTATGTATATACACACATGTATGTATACATATAACAATTAGTAGGCAGGTTAAATTCAAGGCTCCAAGTTCTCCACTAGAATTTTTCCCATGTGACAATAGCCTAGTGAATTAAATCATTGAATTTGATGACATAGCAATTACATGCTCCATTTTCCATTTTGGGCTGTGTGTACTTGGACTCAGCAAGTAATAATTGAGCAGTACTGAATAAGAACTAGACAAGATATTCCTGAACATAGAGTGTAGATTAAGAAAAATCTCTGTAGATTAAATGAAAGGTTTAGTTCAATATTCTCTGATGATTACCAGGATTAACAAACACCTGATGAAAACTGGAGAATATAATGGCCAAAATGTTGTGATAATAACAACAAAGATGAGGACAATAGTCTGCATGTAAATGATAACACCTCATTGTAGAAATTCAAATAGAAATTAAATCAACTTTACTATAAAGACAAGTTGAAGGCCCTAGACTTGATGCAATCTGTGTTTAAAATCTGGGATGATATTAAACTTGAAGTGGGTCCATTGGCTCTTAACTTTTTCAAGCCTCATTTTCAGAATCTCAATGCATTCAGCTCTGCAGCTCTCCATGAATTGTGTTTACATGAATACACCAAAATGCATTACAGTTCTGAAAGACAACAGATACAACTCTTGAAAGTACATTGTTGAATACTTACAACTTCTTTGCTTTTCCTTTCATCTTCAGTTGATATAAATCTTGAAGGTTTTAATTTTTGCTTTTAGATTGCTTCAGTATATTGGCCACAAAAGATAAACTGTACTGAAGTGTATGGGTCCATAAAAGTGGAACTGACAAATACAGCTGAAAGCAAAACATTTTTTCAAAGATATTTTCAGGTTTCTTCAACTAAACAGGTGATTATTTGAATTTTTTTTTATTCTTTAAAGTAAGCTTTCCAGAATTAATTTGTTTAACAAATTTAATGAAAATGTCAGAATAAATAATGAAATTAATGCTTCAAAAACTTATTTTAATTAAATACAAGGAAAACTGAAACTCATCGAATGATTTACAAGTAATAATTCTCTATGGAAGGGGTTGTGCTTCCTTTCTCTTTACCATCAACTTGAATTTCTTCAGCATTTCATATCATTCAAATTACAACACCATATTCTTTTCAGTCCACTGTATATGAGCTCAGATTGTTTTATGTCATGGGACTATTCTGTTGTTACAAGCTGAAATAAGGATAATTGCAAGAATAGAATCAAATCCAAATGCTTCATGGAGATCAAGTAAAGAGATGATAGATGAAGTTATATGTATATTATAGTTAAAGCTGAGTTCTAAGTGAAAAGTCTAGTAAAGATACACCTGATGAATCGAGTCTAGAATTTTATCAACAGAAGATGATAGCATTTCGAAATGATTGAAGAGAGGGAGGCTTTACCCCTTTTTTTACACACACTATTACCGAGCTGCTAGTAGTCACAAGAACCAAACTTGTGAGAGGCTCACTATAAACACCAACAGTTTCATTGAGGACATGTTTGCATTTATTACAAGCAGACACAAAGAGGGCCTCTGTTGTGATCAGAGTTATCACCTTGATATAGCTGGAAAAAGTGATTCCTGTAGACTATAGCAGTTGAACAGGTAGGTGTGAACCAAGGTGAAGATAGCAATCTTATCTTGTATTTATGAGATGGTACAAACCCCTTGATGCTGGCTTTTCACCCAAGTGGAATGAATCCCAATTAGCATGTAGGTAACAGAAAGAAGTCTTGTGAATGGGGGTTTGTGCCTAAATACTATTAAATCTTAACCTTATTGAACCCTAACCCTTACCATATTAGAGTATGAATATAAAGGGGTGCTGAAAAGTTATTAACCCAACTAACTTAAAAATATCTAACTAATTATGTAACTAAACATCATTTTTATAACGGTTTTTGGAACAAACTAAGAACTTTTCAACACTCCCTTCTATAATCTGAGACAAAGTTACTCTATATAGGAGTACTTGGTCTTAAGGAAGCAACTTAGAATCAACTTTAATCTTGCTGAGTGCTCTAAAAACATGTCATTGTGTTAAAGTTTGCCTTAAACAACAAAAATCTATTTGTTTCAAAATCTATCATTTTCAAATATTTCTTCTTTCTTTTTCACCCAGAATGCACTTGAACCAGTTTATGTTGTTCAATTCCAGTCCAAAATTTGGCAAAGAAAGCAGCTTCCTTTTCCATCTGATCTCATTGAACTCATTCAAACTGTTACTAATTCTTGTGGACAAGGAAAACAACTTCTTATTCAATGCAAGTAAGAATAAGAATTTATTCCTTTTATAATGTGTGTACTGGTGTTTGTCACAGCTCTATCCTTAATTATTTGGGACTTCTCACCTCGTTATTTCCATTAAAAAAATAAAAACTATAGCCATGTAATTAATTACTATAATTATGCTTATCACTCACCTGCTGATAAGAGTCTAAATAGACAATCTGTAGCTAAAGAGAAGGTTTTTATTTTTGCATTCAAGATGCAAACTGATTTTTCCTTTTGTCATATTATCTTTCTTAAAACAACTGTTTTTTTAGTTAAATTGCATCCAGTAATTGCTGTTTTGATATTTTCTTGTTGATGAACATGCAAATAAAATCGACTCACATACTTGAAATTAGGCTTTATCTTTTGCATACAAACTTAGGAGAACTGACAAATAATATGAAAATAAAACAACATGGTCAACTGAATAAATTCCTTCAATTTAAACTACAGGCATGAAGATTTGTACAGTGTCAGTTCTTTGGTAAATGTATAAAATAAATACTGAAAATAATAATGGCTTCTGTTTTTTCAAGTGACAAAATTTTATATTCAATTTTAGGGATGGCATCACCAAAAGTAGTATTTTTTGTGTTCTATGTGTGATGATTTGCAAAATAAGAATGAATGAGAGGGTCAGCATTTTGAGACTTCTTCGGTCCATGAAGAAAAAAAATCCTCAAATTGTCACTGACTATGTAAGTATAAAAATGTTTTATTAACTGTTTTGTCTCTCACATCTTAAATATCAACAGGTGACAATGATGCATAAATCTAAAACTCAGCACTAATATATTACTGACTTTTAGAATTTTCTATATTTCTTGTCTTCTATAAAATGTGGGTGATAAAAAGTTTTTTTTTAAATTGTCATTCATGTAACTGTCAATGAAAGTTGAATAACATCATGAAAAGAAAAAGCCAGCTTGTTAGCAATATTTCCACCCTGTCAAGTTCTTTGCTTTTTCTTGTGCAATATATTCACTGACTTTATTGCAAGTAGTAATTAGCTATCATTATTATAATTAATAATAATAATAATTATTAATTATTAGCTTCAATTATTATTAATAATTAGCTATCATTATTAGCTATCATTATTAGCTTAATAGTTTGTACAATGTCTGTGAATGGACTCAGATGAACACAAATAATAAAGAAATAAAACCAAATTATCTTCTCTCTATGAATATTAGAGATCTCTTGACTTAGTTAAAGAAAGAGAATGTCCCTGGTAATTTGTAGAAAATAATTTAGTCAAGGCAAATAATGCCAGGATATTAGGAACTAATCAATTCAAGATTCTTTGGATATTAAATCATTGGAAAATAGAAATGCAATTTGATCATTTTTTTAATAATGTACAAGTCCCAAGAGCCACTCAAGGAAGAGGGTTAGAGAGTAAGAGGTACAGTTTATGGGGATATGTGGGTGGGAATTTATTTATTTTATTTATTTATTTATTTTTTTTGGTAAACAGTTTTAAAACGCTTAATTTTATTTATAAGCATCCTCGGCTTAATTCGCTGTAATTTATTTATTAATTTCAATGGCCATATTTTCTTATCTCTGTATATAGTAATTATTAGCTGGTGAAATGAAACTTGATGAGAAGTGGGTAAAAACGGAAAACATAATTACCTTCTAAGTATCCGATGAAGGGGTGTCCACCAAAAAAGCGAAAAAAATTACCCGTAAACAGCTTAAATAGAATTTGCACCGTTGTGATTGGCTGTTGGTCAATCTCCAATCAAATGTGTGATAACGGGGTATATTTATAGAAGTCAGTGTCTACAAGCATTTTTTTTGAGGGCATTTCAGAGTCTGATCAGCTCTGAAGGGGTCGATTTGGTGAGGTCAGTATGATGTTTGAAAGACCCGAAACTGTCCAATGATCCTTTTCTAGAACATCACTGACGACGCCCTCTAGCGCTAAAAGAGTGTATATTCAAAGCATGGGAGACCTGAATGCCAAAGTAGGCAAGGAGAGGGCAGGGGAGCTAGTTGGTAAATTCAGACTAGGGACTCACAACAAATGTGTCCAATGGTGTGTGGAGAATGACCAGATAATAGCCAACACATGGTTCGAAGAACATCCAAGATAATTATGGACATGGAGAAGCTCAGGAGGAGAAACTAAAAAGCAAATTGACTACATACCCATCAATAAAAGATTCAGGAATTCAGTTGTTTACTTCAAAACCTATCCAAGTGACAATTGTGGAAGCAAACACATCCCTATTATACCTAATAGTGAAAATATGGAAACTGAAGAAGCCTAATGCAGCATCCAAATTGCAATGCAACAGACTCCTGAACAACCCAAACCTCAAGGAAAAATATATGGACAGTGTGAAAAGTATATACGAGGGATTAAATGGAAATGAAAACTTGAAATGGGACACACTAAGAGAAGCTTTAGTGACATCAGCAAACAACATCATACTTATCATTCAGGAAACATCCTGAAGAAGAAAAATCCCATTCTCTCTTTTCATGTTGAATGATGCATACCAGAAATGATGCATATTAGAAATTAACACAAAGATTTTTGTGAAAGACTTTCTGCAAATCTTCAATTTAACAACAACAAACATTATAAAACAGAAAAACACCCAATGAACTGTGATATCCAGTGAAATTTTTAAATTACCACAATCTATTTCTTTTAAAGATTGTCCATCTACTTGAAAATAAAATGAGTATTATTAAATATTTCCTCCTCTGTGGGACAATCTTGTCTTGCTATAAAATGACATTTTAATATCTTTAGGGATCCTAGTTTCAAGGTCTGGTAAGTTATCAAATGTTTGGCATCCCATTTTATCCAGCAAATGTCCACATTTATGGCCTGGATCAAAATTGTATTTTTTTACTTCAAAATTGAAGAAGTAGTTTTACTTTTTTCAATATCAAATTTTTAAATAACATTTTGAATTGTTATAAAATATGCACCTTCAGAACTTTATCTTAATTTTCCAAATAAATATTCAAAATAGTCTGTGATAAATTCATCAAGCATAACAAAATTAAACCCACTGCTTAGCAAATATCTAGAAACTTTTTCAATTTACTATTATTCATTTTTCTTATCAAAAATGGGATTCACAATTAATTCATATTTATAATTGAGATTGTGTGTGTATATATAGTAGGATTTTAGGTATACATGCTTAAGTATCTATTGTTAATTTATGCTGAAATGTCAGTGTTTTTGTTTAGGGTCGACATACACATTTATGTATAGAGTATGTTGTGTGCATCAACCACTCTGATGTTTTTATTATAATCTTTTTAATTTATTTCAGGAGTCATACAAATTCTGCTGGTCAGTTGCTGAAATACTGCAAGATGAAAATTCGACTTATTATTCCCACTGTCAGTCCCAGGAAATATCCGAAATAGTCTAAATTCTTTAGATGGTTTACACAAAACTGATAAGAATCTAAATAAATTCTCATAGTATAAGCAACTTTTTAGTTAATAATATGCAGATGTTATGAATTAGAAAAGTGAACTCAACAAAATATCATTTTTAAGGACTCAATTGAAATTCTGACCAAATTATAAGACAAACTTTTTGGTAATGCTTAGGAGATAGCTCATATCAATTCTTTCTAGTTTATCCCCATTTATAAACAAGTGTCTTTAAAACCCATTTTATTTAGACATTTATTGTTTTTCACAAGTGATTAGGATAGAGCAGAGTTATGCATAATCATTTTCTTTCTACAAATGTTTGGCTTCTTCTTGAAATAAGGCTATATGTGTGCCTTCAAAAAATTAGTGTAAGCCTGAGTTGTCATCTAAACACCATCTGGAATTTGCCATAAGCCCACACTTCATCATCTATCATCCTACCCTGAAATATTATACCACACCTGACATGTGAGGGTATTTTCCACTAGTAGCTATCTATCTTTTGCTCTATCCGTCTGGTTTATCACGTATAGAACAGCATTTATTGAGGGAGAAGAACAAAAATATGCATGCAAGTTTTTTATATATATATATATAACTGAAACATATATTAATCTTAAAAACCCCTTTGTAAATATATTATCACAAAAATTGTATACCAAAAAGCGATTAAAAATATCTTTGAAATCAGCATTTATCAGTGAAAATATTGCTCTTCACTTATTCCATTATCCATTTTATTTGATCTTTCTTTATGATTGTCTTTTAAAGGAGGCATGGTGATTTACTTTCATGTTTTCTCACTTGATTTATAACACTATATCTTGTACATCTTTTTACACTTCATTATTGTCATCTGTAATCTCATCCTAAAACATCATACTATTCCTGACAAGTGAGGACAGTTTCCACCAGTAGCCACACAACACATCTTCTCTAGTCTATTGAGGGTAGCATGACATTTGTAGAGAAAAACAACAAATAATTCTACTTTACATTTTCTGTTGCCAATTTTCTTTTAAAAGAGACATAGTTATTGACCTCACATATTTTGCCACTTAATTTATGACCCTATATTTCCCTGAAATAAAAAATACATTTACAAATCCAAGGACTTTTACATCTATTCATATAATGTGGACATTCATTCCAAACTTTCAAACAGATATGATGAAGCCTTTATGGGATATTCTGAGTCAGATGTATGCTTTTGTGTGGGAGTGTGAACAAAAAGAGCCCTCAACTCCATAAAAAACAGCCTTATGTTCAGCACCAGTTCAATCATTGTATATAGCCCTTCAAGAGAGAACAGTAATTTCTTTATATGCTTCAATTTTTGGCCTTGTAACAATACAGTAGCAGATACCACAATGGTATGAGCTTATCTCTTGTAGAACAGGAGTTAATGAGACAAATGAGCATTTGTAAAATCCATTCTGGTCACCAAGATGCCAACAACAAGTATACCAATCAATCTGGTGACCAGGATTATCTAACCAAATAAAGGATGTGGATGTCTGAGACGTATGCCAGGCCATGATATCAGATGGCCAAACCACTAATGATAATCAAACTCCCACCAAGATCATGGCATACCCTAGCTCCAAATTTATTCAGGCTAAATGGCCAAATATATATTGTGGTTGTTGACTATTTTTGAGACCTGATAATGAAGGCACAATGATTAGAAATGACCTACATTGTGAAAATGAATGATGAACGATGAAAATGAACAATGGTAAACTATCAGCATATTATTTCAAGACCATCTCCTAAAAGTGAGATGGAGGAAATGGAGAGTTTGGAAAAATGCCCAACCTCGAGTAAATGAAGTTGAGAAACAACACCATTGTGAAAACCCCACCACTAAGCTGGACCTTTGAAAAAATACAAATAATCCAATTACTAAAGGGTTCCTTTAAAAAAACATCCAAGGACACTTGCAGGAATTCTTACCCCAAATTTTTTAGTTAGAAAATTTTAACCCCAGATATTTATAAACATAAATATCTTAAAGTGGAAATGTGTTATTCTAGTTAATTAATTAAATATGTAGAGTTTATGCATTTTAGAAGGAAACAGTTTGGTAATAAAGAAACAGTTTGGTAATAAAGCCTTGTTTTGGAAATAGTGGGGCTCAAGATATTGCCATCTTCATACCTGTGACATCCCACATGTTTGCACTGTAAATACTAACAAAAAAAACAAATCAACTTTGTTTCATCTTTTTAAGTTAACCAACTCCTGAGTAACATGGATTTATGAAACACTACCCTCCAGATCTGCAAGATGTTTCAACCAACATTACTGAGAGACTTTTTCAGAGTTAAAAATCTAAATATAGGGTGGGGTATATGGCTGGCAGGGTAATAGTGACAATGAACAGGAGAGTTGTATTTTCAACATGCACAAGTGTGTATGGAAATATACTTAGTCACACCCACTTCCAAATGACCAGACATGAAAATTACTTTTAAAACCCTTCTTGATTGCATCAAAATATTTTGAGCTCCCTCTCTTATCTCTCTCTCTCTCTCAAACACACCACACACACACACACACACACATATATATATATATATATATATATATATATATATATATATATATAGTTAGAACATTGCATTTAAGCATGAAAAACTTTGTGTCACTTGGTATTAACCTCAATGAATACTTTTTTATATTTATAATAAAAACTCTTGTATTAAAAAAATAAATCCATTAATTCTTCATATATGTGTGTGTGTGTGTGTGTTTCTGTATGCATAGGTTTCAAAATGGGGAATTTTGTACTGAAAACCTCTTATTAAGTGTTTATCCTCTTTTGAATGTGAATACAGGCCTGTAATCACTTATGTGCATGACTTTATAGCAGTGGTTCCCAACCAATTTTGGGCCTTGCCCCACTTTGGTATTTCTGAAATTATGGTACCCCACCCCCTGTATTATTTAATTCTTACATATTCAAAATTTTACTGCAATTCACATGAAGGAAGCTTAAAAGGCCATTAACTTGGTTTCTAAACAAGCCTCGAAAGACCATGGCGTCCATGAAAGACAAAACTTAAGAAAGCCAAAAAGACAATTAAATATATGTAGTTTCAAAACATATAATATAGAACTGAAAGGCAGAAATATAAAATATTTGAATGAAAGCTTATTCTGTAATATACTTTGATCATTTTAATTATGAAATAATAATGGAAAATGAAATTTGAGCTCACTAGAAAACAATTCACTGTTAATAACTCATTCTCGAATTGCCCACTTATTCTGTTGATATATTAAGCTGAAGGGTGCATATCCTATTCATGCCCCATCAAAATATTACCATGCCTCTTTGGTGGGGCATGCACCCTACATTGGGAATTATTGCTTTAGAGATAAATAACACCATCCTACAATACATGATTTCACACCTCTTTCACCTGTTAATACAATATAACAAGAGTTGTAGATTGGATAACTAAACCAGTCAGGCATCTCATGTTCCATATATGTTCAATGGAGGGCAGATCTCATGATCATACTATCAAAGAAAATTCATCAAACATCTTACAGATCATGTTGAGTAGCAAAGTTATTTTGTGGTGAGGAGTATTATCCCAAATCTACATTAATACTCCTTGGGTCACATTTGCTCTGATCTGTCCTGTGGATACTATGCTGTCACCACTGATTTTATGATACCAAAATCAGGACAAACATCAGTGCTCCATAGCCATCCAGAACCTTGTCTATGGCTGATTCAGTCAGCTACTGTTGTTAACATTGAAGTAACATTGTCATGCATGTCCAACATGTATAGCAGTTCTTTTAAATTGCATATCTTGATGCCTTTTGATAAAAAGTAAAGATCAAAATGAATTTTTGGAACATAATCAATGTTTTTTTTAAAAAATTAAGAATAACAAAACTTGAGCTTAAAAAATAAAGAAATTTTTCATCTAATAACAAAATTAAGCTTTTTGGGGCAGAATAATAGACTCTGATTGAAAATGACCAATCCAACAATAAATTCTAAATTTCAAAGACATTTTGAAACACAAAAACTTCATCTAAAAATGTCTCTCTCAATATATAGAATTATTCTAACATATTCTTTAAATTAAATCGTTCATTTTAGGATCTGATTTAAGATTATTTTTTATATTTTATCATGGGATATATATTCCTAATTTCAGTTGCAGCAGCACATTTACTATATTTGCCATCCATTAAATAAATTGCACAAAAAAAGGGGCAAACCATGGGAATGGTCAGAAGTCTAAAAAGAAGGCGTTTGACAAAATAAAGAATATTTTTGACGTTAGAATTATCTTTGTAACAAAATGTTTGACCCTAAAAAACAGGAAATTATTTTTTATAATTTGAAAATTCAATCAAATTGATATAAATCATAAATAGGTTAAAAATTAATGCATTTATGAATAAAGAGACAAGGCAATCAAAGACAGTGGCACATGCATCAAGGACATTATTACCATGCAGAAAGAGAAACTCTCAAATTGAGAAAGAAAAAAGAAACTATCATATAGATACTTGTAAAAATCCCAAATTAGATACATGGAAGAAGGTTTATATTGCAGACCGACCATCGAAACCTTGATATAGAAAATCTATGGTTCGACAAGGTATACCTACTCATACATAAAATTTTGTTTTTAATTATCTAATGGGGAACCATTTTATAATTTCAAATGGAATTCCTGGATATCAAATAAAGAATTTTATCAAATTATATATATATATATATATATGATGGTTTATCTAAAGACTTGATCCCAAGAAATATTTTTGGAATACTAGAAGAAAAGATACGGTGATAGCGTCATTTACTAAAACTTAAAAAATGAATTGGTTTCTAATGTATAACACAGTGAGTAAAAGAATTACCAGTGACATTAGATGAAATAAAATTTAAACAGAAAACGACATTTTATTATAAAAATGAAAGAAATTGTATTATTTCAAAAATCTTTATAAATTC